GTGACTCTCAGCTACACAGTTAAGTGCAGTTTGTTCTGTGATGAGACCCTCTAAATGACAGACTCTGCAGTGTGGCAGTAAGAATGAGACCACCGTGTTTTACAGCGAAAGACACCAGGTGAGAATTCTTAAGAATCCAAGACTCAAGATCATAGAACCAAAATCTGGGAAACTCCAGATCTGAATTCCTTGCCATTAAATTATATCACATGATCTTCAGAGACCATGCAGACGAGTCACACTTGGGTGTTTTCATGCTGTGTTGCTTACATTTTTACCATCTACCTGACATAAACCACTTATCGGGGGGATGCTTCCCGTGCCTCATAATTTCAGAATGCGCCCTCCATGTTTTTTCCCCACCACACCCTCGGGCAGATCACTGTGGCAATGAAAGCATGTGGCAGATGTCTCCAGACACCTGGTTGTTGTCCCCCCCGCCCCGACTCTTACTGCATCTAGGCCCTGAGCCCACGGGGTGTTCCCACCACCTGCAGGGTAGGTCATTCCACATCAATTCGTCCTCTCTGAAAACACCCTAACACACCCAGATGGGTGCCACACTAGCCTATCAAGAGACCTGAAGTCCAATCAAGCTGAAAATCAAAACCAAACAGCACTCTCTAATTTGTGATCCCATCCATCATCTATGTAGCAGGGATTAATTTTTAAAGTGATTACCATGAGGTCATTACGTGTCACTTCAGTAATTTACCAAACCACTTTGAACTCTATCACACCTGCAAAGTAAAGATTTGTTATATTTATATACCATGTATAGATGATGATTGTGTGTGTGTGTGTGTGTGTGTGTGTGTGTGTGTGTGTGTGCGCGCCCACATGTGCACCCTCAAGTTATGGTATCCTGTGGAGGCAGGAGGCAAACTGTGGGAGTCGGTTCTTTTCTTCAGCCACGTGGGTCCTAGGGTCAAACGGAAGTCACCAGGCTTGACAACAGGTACCCATCTCAGCAGCCCTCAAAAAATGATTATGAAAGAAGATGAATTAAAATGTAAATTATTCACTAGATACATGGATGTTTCTAGTACCATAAAAATACATTTTTGAGAATGTCAGTTTTGGACTCTGTGCTTTATTGATTCGAGCTCTCACAGTTTAGTTAACGATGTCCTTTCTGCAGGGCTCTGACATCTAGGAAACAGGATGTCATGAGAAATAAAAGGGTGCATTACAAGACTAAGAACAGAGATCTGGGTTCCAATTCTGACTCTGCTATTTGCTCTTCTGGAAACTATTTGGATCTATGAGTACTATTTTTCCCTTTTAAAATTCAACAGTATCTTGGCTTTCCATGTCTATCACATAGAGCTCTTGAGGTGAAGCAAAGTGATACACACACAGCCTTTCAGACACTTAAGATGGTGGCCATGCACCAGTGGTGACAGTTTCCATTGCTCATGCATCTCATCCATGTAATCTTCATGCTAATCCCATTTCCTTTGAAAACTTGAGCCCAGAGTGACCTTCAGTTGTTTGGTAAAGCTTGACTGTCACTGAGCAGGACAGCCAGGTTTCAAAACCAACCTATTAACTTTAGGTGTTCTTACTCTTACATCAAATCACATGAATTACTACAATTGCAGAGGAAATGTAGTGTGAGCAATTGCATATGATTTAACCTTTATGGTTATTCTGTGCAAAGAACTTCGGAAAGCCAAGAGAATAAAACTATTGAGTAGTGACTTAGGCTAGATTTTCCAATACTAGGCTGAAGGCCAGGAGCTCGGATTTGGTAGAAATCTGTTCTGTGTGGCATAGGCACCCATGATTCAGCCACTGATCATCATCAGAGGAAGCAAGGCAGGAACCTGAAGCAGAGGCCATGGAGGTGCTTACCGTCATGCGCATCCTGGCTTGCTCAGCCTGCTTCCTTATACAACCCAGGACTACCTGTCAGGGAGTGACACTGCCCTAAGTAGGGTGGACCCTCCACATCGGTCATTAATCAAGAAAATGCCCTAAAGATTTGCTCACAGACCAATTTAACAGAGGCATTTTTCTTTTGACTGAAGTTCCTTCTTCCCAGATGACTCTGGCTTATGTCAGATTGTATTAGATTGACAATGTGTGTGCGTGTGCGTGTGCGTGTGTGCAGAACAGAGGTGAAAATGTTTTCACACAGAATTCTGAGAGATGAGGTAAAGATAGAAGGAATGGTTTCACACTTTCTTCCTTTCTTTCTTTTTTTGTTTGTTTGTTTTTTTTGTGACCATACACACGGTCTGGCATAGTATTGGCTCAGTATCACATTGACAAGAATTTTGATGTTGCCTATCTGGTATGCCTGGAGATTGGATAGCTGACTACTAGGGAAAAGATATATAGACTCTTAAGTTTGTCTTGTCTGGGGATCCCAAAGGCAAGATCGTGTGCCATGGGTATGAGCAGGTACCTCCTCCAGGGATGGTGTATAGTCTTATTGTGGGTCACCCTTCTGCAGAGAAAAGCGAGGGCTTGGACTTAGAATTGATGAATCTCTTCTCTGGGCTTCTGCCTAGCCAGAAGTGAATGTCGGAAGAAGTGTCTGGATTTCTGTTCAAACTGAGTTTGCTGTCAGGTGGCAGGATTTTAGTGTGTTGTTTGGAGACTGTCTATCTTACAGAGTCTCTTATAGTGTCTCTTATAGTGATGTGGGATGTAATTATTGGTTAATGAATAAAGCTACTTTGGCCTATAGCAAGGCAGAAAATAGCCAGACTGGAAGATGTATATAGAGAGAGTAGGCAGAGTCAAGGAGACACCATGTAGCTGCTGAAGGAGAAAGATACTGGAACACCAGAATCGTACTGGTAGGCCACAGCCTTGTGGTGATACATAGATGAACAGAAATGGGTTAATTTAAGATGTAAGAGTAAGTTAATAAGATTTCCTGAGCTAATAGGTCAAACAGTGTTGTAATTAATACAGTTTCTGTGTGATTATTCGGGTCTGGGCGGCTGGGAAATGAACGAGCAATCTCCTTTTACATTCCAATATTGCTTGCAGTTGCGTTCACCATCATTAGATCAGCAGGTAGGTAAGCCATAGGTTGGACATGTGGATTCTTTTCTACTTCCATCTGAAATAATTTGAAGTCACAAAAGTATTTTCAAGTCTTCCCCGAATGACTGTGATGGTTAATTTTAATTGTCAGCTTGATACAAATCTAGAGTCACCCAGGAAAAGAATGTAAGTGAGGGACATAGAATAATACATAGAATTAAGTTGGCCCATGGGCATGTGTATGGGGTTTGTCTTGATTGTGCTAACTGATTTGTGAAGGCCCCACCCACTGTGGGTTTGGGTCCTGGACTGTATAAAGGAGGGAAATGGAGCCAAGCAGCAGGAATGCATGCATTAATTTCTCTCTGCTCCTGACTGTGATGAAACTAGGTTCTTGCAATAAACAATATTTGGTTCTCACTGCCCTGTCAGCGGGGACATGCAGGAACACAGCACCAGTACATCCGGTGTCTGGTGAGGGTTTGCTTTTTAATTTATACATATCATTTTCTTGCAGTGTCAGCTTGTAATAAAGGGGAAGAATGGACTTTGGGGACTGTTCCATGGGGGCACTAATTACATTTATGAGGACAGAGCCTCTCCAAAGTTCCCACCTCTTAAACCCAGTGCTGTGAGGATTAGGAATCCAAAGGAAGACTCTCGGGGGTGGGGCACATTCAGTTAGCTGCACACAGTACTGAGGAGAGAATGAGAGAGGATAATAACACCAGTAGTGGGGCGTTATAGGTCGAACTAGAGCACACCAGAAGACTCCGGGAGGAGACTCTTCAAGCAAAAATTGATAGCACGCCTGATGAGAGGATTTAGATAACTAATAAAGAGCTTGAAGTGAAGTTAATGATATTACCTAGAAAGTCAAACAGAATGAACAATTACTGACTTCAGGGAAGGAAAACAATTATACTTAACATCAAAAATAATTATTTTGGTCCATCTGGGTTGCTTTAAAAACTGTTAGAGACTGGGTGGTTTATAAACAACAGGAGTTTATTCTACAGAGTTGTGGGGCTTGAGAAGCCCAGGACCAGCACAGCAGCAGATGCTGGGCCTGCTGAGGGTCTAGCTCCTGGCTCATAGGTGGCCATCGCTTTGTTCTGTACTCACAGGGCAGAAACAATGCTTATTCTATGAGGTCTCTTTTATTAGGATACTGGTAAGGTCCTCATAGCACCTTTTATAGGCCCCAACTCCCACTGTTATTACATTGGAAATTAGGATTTAACATAGATTTTTGGGAGAATCCAAGTGTAAAGGCCTGTCAGAACAATCATAATATGTTCCACAGCTCAGATGTGAATAACATTTATGGATTCTGAAAAATATAATTTTATGTTGGGAGGTGGTGGCACACACCTTTAATCTCAGCAGAGGCTGAGGCAGATGGATCTCTTGAGTTCTAGGCCAGCCTGGGTCTACAAGAGCTAGTTCCAGGATAGGCTCCAAAGCTACAGAGAAACCCTGTCTTGAAAAATCAAAAAAAATATTTTATGTGTATGGGTGTTGTACCTACATGCATGAATGTGCATTGTGTGTGTGTGTGTGTGTGTGTGTGTGTGTGTGTGCAGTGCCTACAGAGACCAGAAGAGGGCATCATTCCTTGAAGCTGGATCTACAGACAGTTGTGAGCAGCCTCATGAGTGCTGGGGATTGAACTCAGGCCCTTTAATAGAGTCAGTGCTCTTAACTGCTGATCCATTTTTTTAGCCCCTATTTATAGATTCTTAATTCCATAATATATCATTATTATTGTAGTTAAAATTAAATGTTGCAAAATGGGAAATGTATGCAGGATACTGAAAAATGCATGCCACTTGTTATGGTAAACTAACATAATACACACACTCACATATAGAAGGCACTATATTAAAATAAACATATTAATAGTATATTCATACAATGTGTATTTCCACTGTGGGCAAGGGAAATTTGATAAAAAGAGACACAGAGGATAGCAGCGAATAAGGTTAATGGCTTGCTTTGTGTTTTTAACTCAAGTTTATTTCAACTGGGTGTACACAGAACTGATACAATGAAGTTCTATGACATGTAGCCAGGCCACCCGTCACTGTAGAGGGAAGACCAACTAGGGTGCAAGAGGGAATCAGAGGAAGCAGGGAAGGAGTCAGGTAGCAGACAAGCTTGTTTGCCAAGCCCTTGAGTGCAGATGTCCGACAGGAGAAGACGGTGAAACACGTGGCTGGTCTAGAAGCTTCTGGGACATGATGCAGGGCGGAGAAGCAGGCGAAGGTCAAGTTTCCACACTACTCATGCTTATGACCTTCTGTGTGGTTAGTGATGTCCGAAGATTGAGGAAGGAACCCATGGAGGGCTGGAAAACATGTGTACATGGTTACATGCCTGTAGGATGAACGCTACCTGGCATCTTGCATTGTAAATTCTATGATACATTATACATTAAATTGCCTTACACTATTCTACATGGTTGACCTTAAAACCCTTGTCTATGTATTGGCATGGTGTATGCAAATCTCACGCTTCTTAGCCTGTCTACCTCAGGTCGCCCACCCGCTTTGTTACAGAGGAACTTTGGGTTCTTTGTTGATTGGTACTCAAGGCAATGTGTCCATTTTATGTAAATATGTAAATGTTCTTTAAATTCCAATCAACTTTCCTATTTTAGCATGGAGTTATTTATTCCAAAGTACTTACATGTTACAGGATGGGGACTTGCCCTAAGGAATACCAATATGCTTACCCAATCATTTTAAGCTTAAAAAATGAAAGTTATATAGCCTTGAAAATAGCTGCCCAGGGATTGGCTACTTGCCAGAAATGTATCCAGGCTTTAGCCCTTACCAGGACTTTAACCAGTGAATGAAGCAGGATTGTGTGTAGGCTGGGTGGCCTGCTGATAGATCTCCTCACCTCCTTTCCATGTGCTAACAGAAATAAGGGGATTAAACTGCAGGAAACAGGGAGCAATACAAGTCACCATTTCTTTAACATTTAAAAAAATATATATACACAATAGTGCTGATCTTCATATTTCGTTTGCCATAGTATTAAAGCTCCAAGCTGAGCTTCAGAATTGGGCTCTATTTCTTTATTCCCAATACCACCATTGAGTAGCTGAGTCAGAGTACAATAAGCTGGAAAGTACCCATGAGTCCTTTCCATTGAGGGTAGTCTATGAACTATAATCATTATCTCATTGCAAACCTCCCAGCAACTGGGACTGAGAGGTTAAGTGACTTACTTGAGACCACATAGCTAAGAAGGAGGAGAGCAGACTGTGCTGCCAAGGCCTGCGACACCTGCTCTGGGACGGTTCTAATTACCATTCCGCTGCGGAGAAGCTGTGACCGTCACAGAGCACATCTGTCACAGCTTTCCACCTTCTCATGCTTTCCTGAAAGAACTTGCTGTCACCCACATGCTGACATGGTGTGTAAAGACAGCAGAGCTAGTCACTCATTCATTCAGTCATTCATTCATTCATCCCTTATCCACTCACTCAACAGGTACTCATCAATTCATAATCATTGTCTATGTACTGTGTTCTGAAAATCCCAGTCTAGTGAGATAGGGGGAAAACCAAGCAGCATGATGGGGTGTGTGTTGGAGAGAAGTTCGGAGTGTCAGGTGTTCTGTCTGATAACGGCTCTTGGAGGATGGCATATGGGAGATTTACTGATGATTCAGTGGGGGAATTTATAAGTAACAAGGTACCAGAGAGGGTTGATTGCTATAAGGGTAGCCATTAGCTAGCTCTAAAAGACTCCCTGACACTCTCCACGTATCTCTCTTCAAGTAACATTGTGGTCCAAACGTATAAGATTCTTCTTGGGGTACAAATGTGTAGCCAAGCTTTATTTACCAAAGTCAATGCCCATCAGTCAAGATATACCAGGTTTGTGTTGTAACAAAGAACTCCTAAGTGTCAGATAAACTTCGGCATCATGGAAGTTTATCTCACGTGAACTGCCCAGGAATTCCACTCACTGAAGTCACTCCAGGAGGGAGACTGAGGTCAGTCCATCTGTACACACTCTTTCCCGGTTCCCAAAGGTGCGCGGTGGCGGTGGGGAGGGGAGATAAGAAAACATATATCCTTTCTCAAAGGCTTTCACCTATAAGTCGCATGCCACATTTCTACTCATGCTTAATCTGCCAAAGCAAATCAAACGTACACGCTGTTGCACAAACATTTCATGAGGAAACATGAAATAATAAATAAATAAACCAGATAAGGTACCTATGACAGAAACAAAGAAGCCATCATACCCAAGTATAGCTTGGTGTACCAATCAATGAGCGTTATGGTATTGGAATGTGGGCAGCTGCACCACCAAGGAATATTCCCCCATATCTGTTAACTGTCTATAAACCTTTGGAGAGTGATCGAACCTCATGTACCCTCTGCCTTAAGGCCCCTAGGCCAGGCTGACTCTTGTGCAGGTCTTCTGTAGGTACACACAGCTACTGAGAGGGCAATGGGCATGTCATACCAGAAGGATAGCAGTCCACAGCATGTACCCAACTGCTAAAACATCAGGGAAATGTGCTGGAAAAGGCAAGAGTCTCAGAAGATCTGGGAACATTCCCAAGTTGGCAGTGTTTTGTGAGTCCCCAGCAGAGACCTCATCACTTAGGTTTCCACACTAGATTCCAAGGTTCCGGAGAACAAAGACTGTCCCTTGACATCTCTGCGTTCCAAAAGCCTAGTACAGTGCCTGGCATGAAACAGATTCTCAAAAGATACCCTCAGATGAACTAATAAGTGGGAAGATGGAGATTTCCTGGAAGAATTCTTCCCCTGGGTAGCCCGTACACACCTAGTTATCTTTTATATTTTAAAATTAAACTTGTCATCTAAAGTTCCTAGAAGACCGCTTTGATGTTCTAGTATAGTTTGAAAGACACTCTGAAGGCCTGTCCGGGTCTACCAGAGGCACAAATTGATGAGACAGTATCTCGAGTTTTACTGATGAAGTTTGGGAATTACAGCTAGCACAGCGCCTTGTGTGTCAGTCTAACAGAGAGGACTGGGGAAGGTGAGCAAGCAAGCAGGCAGCTTCCAAATGTGGGATGTGACGATTACAGCGAGGCCAGAAGGATGCAGATGATCCTTCTCCTAATGTGGATGCGAGGCAGTGGCTACATCTGTCAGGGCCTGGCCTCTGGCTGTGCTCAAACACGTGCTCTTAGGAGGGGCCGCAGAACGGGATAGTCGGTTCTTTGAGGAAGCGCTGCCGGTGTCAAGCTTGTGTACCTGGAGTAAAGGCTGTGGTGTCAAATGATATAGCTCCAATTTCAAAAGACAGCTAAGTCACTCGAAGGGCTGTTGGAGCATTACAGCCTCAGAAGTTGCCAGAACCAGATGGACACCAAAGAGGCTGTTAACTGATATGGGGCTCATTTATTGCTGCCCTTCATGGTCCAACATCTGGCAACCATCTCTATTTTACTGTGCTACGGTAGATACAAAGATTAGCACAGGACTACAAAGAACGTACGAAGAGACTAACGAGGACCTGAGGTCTGAGAAGGAGCAGTCTTGGCTCAGGGTTGTGTGCGCTGGAGAACCGATGACGAGGTGCAGAAACTGAGGCAAAAGGGCTCCCTTTGGTGCTGTTCCAGGGGTTGGGGTCTTATTCCCCAAGACAAACAGGGCATGACATTTTCTGTTCTCTTTCTTTTTCCCTTTCTGCTTCAGGATTATTCTTTCAATTATAAAATCACTGTATTGGTGAAGAATTCACCAATAAAACTATCACACAGCTAGGTTTGGGTAGTCACTGAGACATTTGTCCATTACCAAGCTGAGTGTCTCAGTGAAGAACTGGAATGGCCATTCTGAAGCCATAGAACTTCGATTGGGGGTTACGCTTTCAGTATGAATTACATTTTTATGTATTTATACACTGCTACCCCCATAAAACTATGACAGAGCTGAAACTGGAGAAAACAATTAGCTTTATATCTTTTTATATGGTTTATATGCATCCTTATGGCTTTTTCTTTGTGAGGCGTTTGGGATCACATGAGTGGCTGGAAGGTGAGGCAGTCTGAGGTCATCCTTCACTGCTGTCATGGCCGGCTCCTGTGCTTTGGTACCGTCTTGGCGAACTGGCCACTGTTGACATGCGTGTCTGAATGTTTCAGGGTGATTTGGGGTGGTGCATGGCAACGTGTGTGTAATGAAAGGACTTTTCTTCTAACCACTTGTCCTGAGCTGGGTTCAGGGGGGAAGAACACTGGGGACACATCTCCCTGGGACAGAGCCCCTTGTTCTTCCTCCTGCAGGCTCAGCAAGGCCTGAGAGTCAGTCTCTTGCAGGGTTGTCCGTCCCTGTTCTTGACGATCAGAGTGTGACATGAGTTGAGCATTGGATCAGCAGTGTGTACTGAGGGGGTCACCCAACAAGTTCCGTATAATGCTAATTATGAAGGACTTTTTGAGCCAAAAAGTAACATTACTTTCTTTTTTTATTTATAAAAGTCTATTAATTTATAAAAGTTTCCATTTCCGCCCCTCCTCCCAACACCCTCCCACTACCCCCACTCCCTTTCCTCCTCCCTCTCCATCCCTAAGAGCAGTCAGGATTTCCTGCCCTGTGGGAAGTTCAAGTTCCTCCCCCCTCCCTCCATGTCCAGGAAGGTGAGCATCTAAACAGACTGGATCCCAAAAATCCAGTATATGCAGAGGAAACAAGTCCCAGTGTCATTGTCAATGGCTTTTCAGAAAGACCCCGTGCCAGCCACATTCAGAGAATCCAGCCACATTCAGAGAATCTGGTTGGATCACGTGCTCGCTCGTTCAGTCCCAGTCCAACTGGCCTTGGTGAACTCTCATTAGATCAGTCCCCTTGTATCAGTGGGTGAACGCACTCCTCATGGTCCTGCATTTCTTGTTCATGTTCTCCCTCCTTCTGCTCCTCATTTAGACCTTGGGGGCTCAGTCCAGTGCTCCAATGTGGGTCTCTGTCTCAATCTCCATCCATCAATGGGTGAAGGTTCCCTCTGGTCTTGCCTTCTTTGCTCACGTTCTCTTTCCTTCTGCTTCTCGTTTGGACCTAGGAAGTTAAGTCCAGTGTTCCAATGTGGGTCTCTGTCTCAATCTTTATCCATCGCCAGATGAAGGTTCTATGGTGATATGCAAAATATTCATCAGTATGACATTTAAGGTCATGCTCAACATCCTTAGCAATCAGGGAAATGCAAATCAAAACAACTATGAGATACCATTTTACACCGGTCAGATTAACTAAAGTCATAACATTACTTTCTTAATTTATGAGCCTTTAGAATCTTAGAATGCAATGAATATTTCCATTCTTGTGGAGACAAACAGCAATATGTGTAAACTGACTTGCTTTCACTGGACTCCTGGGTACAATAAAGACACCCCAAGTATTTTATGAATTTTGCACAAGACTTCTTTGGTTACTTTTTCTACAAAGTCAGAAAGCAATTTAGGCCTATCTATCATGTATGGTGTGTACATATCCCCTCTCTTTCCTCTTCTACTCCTTGCCCTCCCCCTTCTCTTCTTCCTCCTCTTCCTTTTTGTAAGCTACTACAAATATAAAGACCATTATTTGCTTAGGGATCATACAGACCTAAGCATGGGGCTTATTGGCCTGTTACTGCAGTTGGCTAGTATGTCCTTCACAGCACAAAATGGAAGACCATCTTGTCCTTACACCGACACCATAGTATTTGTTGAAGACTAAGTCAAGTGGAACCACATACGTTTATGACTCTCTACTGGGCCAGGCACACATTTATGAAGGTCAAGGTGATTTGATAGGAGAGCTGGCAACTCAAAAGCCCTTCCCCATCACTCTGGCAGGGACAACACAGAACTCTACTAGAGCTGTATTCTCACAGGTAAGGCCGTACCTCCAGAGGTTCCCTGCTAAAATAGAAGCAGTCTGGGAGGAAGAGAGTTCATTCCTCCAGATGAACAAGCAGATGGAGAAGTGGGTCAAAAAAGAGTGAGAATTGAGACAGGTAGGTGGAGACATCTTCTAGGCAAGAGTAAAAGTAGCAAACGACCAGCTTTGCTTGGAGAGAAAGAGCTAACTTAAACAAGTCACTCACCACCACCCCAGCAGGTTAAACATTAGAAGTCAGGGTACGGCAGAAAGCACCCAAGGGAGTTAGGTTACAGGGGACTAATGCAGATGAAGCCTATCTTTAAAAAGAGCCTGCCACAGGAAATTCATAGCAAGTAAAGAATGAACAAGAGATAAACAAGGGATTAGATGGATGGGATAATAGGTAGATTAGTGTAAGCTTACTTGATGTGGGATTCCCTTCTGTACGCTGTGAATACAATTGATTAATAATAATAATAAAAAAACTGTCTTAGGCCCACACAGGACAGAATAGGGTAGGTGGGGAAAACTAACTGAATGCTGGGAGAAAGAAGGCCGAGTGAGGAGAAGCTATGGAGCTGCTGCTAGAGATAGACATGCTGAAACTTTGCCCATAAGTCACAGCCATGTGGTGATACACAGATTAATAAAGATGGGTTAGTTTAGGATATAAGAGTTAGCCGGAAATGCACTTAAGCTGTTGGCCAAACAACATTGCAAATAATATAGTTTCTGTGTGGTTATTTTGGAAGTCTAGGTGGGACGGAAACCTCCTATGACACTTACTCACACTAATAATAATTGTGAGTAATAGTGAGAATCCTTGTGAGTTATTATTTATAGACAATTTACATTGGTGTAGATTCTTGTCTGTTCCTGTGTACAATATTTGTGCACCTATGCAAAATTATCTTGTCATATTGGATGTATGCATGTTTCTACCTCTGCTTAAGATATTTTATATATTGATGTAATTTTAGGAGATATTTATCATATTGCACTATATTTCTGCCTCTCATCAAGATACTTATACATTGTTTACATTTTGAGGTCATTGTCCTCATTTGCTACATACTTGTTTAAAGGTTGTTTAATATTTTAATATGAGGTCTTAGTCTTTAAACTATATAGATATTAAGAATTACATGCATGCTTGTCATACTTATAGTTAGACTAATCAGGTTCTTTAGATGCATAGAGATTGTATTCTGCAAAGATAGGTAATCTTCAATCACTTCAAAGAACTGTAGAATATGGCATTTAAATAACTTAGGATTCTGTTGACCTGAGACATGATTGCTCCTGGCAGCACCGGTCTAATCCCAAGAGAATGTTGGACACTGAAGACACTCCACTTGGAGCTTGTTTTCTTCTTGGCAAAACTGGCCTTTGGGCAAAGAACTGCCTCTGACACTGACAAAATGCATGGTGTCCCAAGCAAGATACAAGCAAAAGGACTGCCAAACCTTGCCAAGACAGGATAGGACAGTTTTGAAAACTTTCCTGCCTCTGAAGATGGTCTGTTAATTATTCTAGGTCTGAGTCAAAGTTGGTTGCCTCAACGTTGCAAATGAGACTTTGGGTGATTGCGTGGGTAGCCAATTGTCTCTGTCATTTTTTGCTCCTTTTGAAAGTTATTTGATTGTACTCCCTACTTACTCAAATAATATTATTTTCTTTCTCAAGTCATTGATGGGGTTGAAGACTAGATAGTCATGGTTACTGTCTTCTCATGTCTTAGCCAAGTCATTTCTAATATAAGACTTAGAC